CTATTACGATCACATCGACTATGTGCATCAAGTTTCTGCTTCCAGAGAGTCGGAAGACGCGCAGCGTGGCGGTGATGCGCAACTCCATGGTCTGCTCCTCGCGGCGGCCCACGGCGGCGACCAACACCAACGACAGGAACGTCGTCAGGCACTCCACGAGGAGGCTGACACGGAGGGCCAGCACCACGATCGGCAGAATTAGCATGAGGAAGACCAGCAATGTTCTCATCGGGAGCCGGTCTGGAGGCCGCGGCGTGAGGGGTGGCGCGAATCGCTGCCGCGAGCGCGGCGCCACGCCGCGTTGGCTTACAGACCCGACGCGCAAGCCCCGCAAAGCCGAGGAGGAGCGTCTGCGTGGCGTCGGCGCTTGCGCCCCGGCGGCCTACGAGCGCCGCTCCGCCGCCAGTCGGCGAGGCCGCCGAGTGTGCCAGGGGGGCTCCATGGCACAAGACCAGGCCGAGGGAGGCGGAAGGGCTGGAGGGAAGGCAGGCGTGGGGGCCGGGGGCTGCGGCCCCGAGGGCGGCGATGGGACCCCCCCAAGCAACAAAAACAAGAATGACAAAACAGATAAAAAGGCCCGCTACCCACCTCAAGCCTGAGATAGGGGTGAGCAGCGAGGCCCCTCAGCAAATCTGGCCACCCGGGATCGAGCCAGGGACCATCTGATATCTGCAGTATCTACAGTCAGATGTCCTACCAACTGAGCTATAGCTGGCGTGACGTCACTGGGGTGGTGCGGCACTGATTCCTTCACGTCTGCGCGCGATGAAAGGAGACCGAAAGGCGGGAGGAGGTGATAACCAGTAGTTTGCCAAACATATCCGCACCACTGCAATATACAAAGCGTACGTAATGTGCACCCGCGATGAACCCTTTGTCGCGCACCCTTTGGTCTAGGACTGAGCACGCCCACCTTCGTCTCCAGCGTTTCGGCGTGTGGTTGGCTATCCTCACCAGGACCTGCCACAACCAACCACACGAGGCGGGCCGACGCTGACACGAACGACACCTCCGTCTCCGACGTGCGTGACACATCGCTGTGTGCAACACCCAAGATCGGGGGAGCGTAAGACCCGGGTTTGCCGGGACTCGGGTTCGCCATCGTTTTTTGACGACCGCGACTCGGATTTTGACGAGGTGGAGTTTCGTGGGATGTCTGCAGCGGGAGGCCTCGTCAAAATGCAGGCTCGGCCTCGTCATTTTTTTGACGACCTCGTCGGGGATTTCCGAGTCCCCCGTACCCGGGTCTTACGTCTCCCCGACAAGAAGCCAGAAGATGCCAAGCAAGCGAGGGGCCAGGTCTTGCCCGACACAGCGGGCCACGGCGCGATGAGCGCAGACAGGCGGCGTGCCTGCGCCAACCTGGAGCCTGCCTTTGTTGGCCTTCAGAGCCTGTCTTTTTGGCCCTCGGAGCAGGGAGGCAACAACCGGCTCCCCCAAATCCCGACGAGGGGGCGGGCGCTCGCCACAGTCAAGATGCACGCCTGCACGTGCTCACGACGACGGGGTCGTAGGACTGGATGTGTGAACGACGACCTAGGCGGGGTTGAGCGCTTCCTTCTATGGACCCTCCCGATGGTCGACCGGCGAGCCTGAGCCTGCTTCGCAACGTCGCCCTAAACTGCTCGTCTTGCCCGCACCGTTCCGTTCACCCACCTCCGATACACTTCCACCTTCCGTATCCTCGCTCCTATCCGAACCTCTCGCACTCATGCTCGCCTGCATTCCCAACCCTCGTCGCCATCACACTCATCCCCACCTTCGCTCACACCCGACCTGTATCATCAACATCTTCATCGGTACACTGGCCAAGTGGACCTCCAACTCCTTGTGAAGACCACAACAGCTCCTACCCGTGGGACGGAACCCGATCGGTCCTCTGCAAACCCAATGAAACGTAAACTCAGGCAGGTGCAGAAGGTCCAGTGATTGTCGCATGCCACGAAGCTAGAAGAGCTGAGCCACGGCCTCCGAAAAGTGGATGTGACTGCTGGCGTACCCGCTTCTGGTAACCAGACGTTCCTGCTTGTCCAGGGTTAGGTTGGGTCATTGACGTGTTGTCTTGTCCGTCCCTTTACCCTTGTTCTTTCTTGCATCGCGCTGTTTCTCGTTTCAAGTACTCGCGCGCCTTGGGGATAGGTTCCATCATGCGTGTGCAAAACTGCCTGGCGTCGGAGAAAGTGGGGCGCCCTGCTCCCCCTGGACTGACAAGCTGCCCCGCCATCCCCCTGGTACGGTCGACCCCAGCACGGAAGAACACCCTTCAAGAGCACGGGAGCCCCCGCCAGCCAGAACACACAGAACATCGAAGTGGGTACCCTCCCTAGGATGCACGAAAAACATAAGGATACCCTCGCCGAAACGAAAAACATAAGGACGCCAGAACATACGACAAAGCACGAAAAACATAAGGACGCGAAAAACATAAGGACGCCAGAACATCCGACAAGCACGAAAAACATAAGGATACCCTCGCCGAAACGACCTCGATCTTATACCTCGGCCCGGCCGTACGACCAACGAGCATCCCCCCCACCCCCTGGGCCCCGACCTGGAGCGCCACTGGGACGGCCAGGGGAGATCCCTCCTCGTGCTCCGCCTCCTCCACCTGCTCCTCCGCCCTGCGGCCTCCTCCAGACTGCAGCCTTGAGCTTCGGGAGGGGGAGCTGGGAGGCGGCCAGGGGGGTCTGAGCTGGCTGGGCCCCGAGGCAGTCGGTTCAGAAAGGGGGGCCGAGGCCACGTCCGCTCCAAATCGGCACCCAGACCTTTCCCAGGGTGCAGCTGGGACGGTTCTTCGCCCCGGAACCGTTTGCCACGGACCTGCAGGCCCCGAGCACGAAGCCCGGGGGCCGAACAAGAGAGCAACAACCTTCCTGAACCCAGAGCCTCGGACCGGCCCGCCCTTCCCGCTGGCCCGAGCTGGGCCACCTCAGACCCCCAGACGGCTCCAAGGTCAAGCAAAGCAACAGCTGGTCCCTCGCAGAGAAGGGGACCGCTCGGCAACGCCTCGGCGCCGTCGGCGTCCAGATGCTGCAGCTGCCACGCGAGGCGGCCCATGATGCCCCCGCCCGGACACGAGGGAAGGAAGGGGGCAGGTGGGGGGGGGGCAAGAGGGGAGGGGACGTGAGAGAAGGGAGGCGGGAGGGAGGAGAGGACGAGGACGATGGAGAGGAGAAGGAGGAGGAGCAGGAGAGGAGGAGCAGAGCAGGAAGGGAGGAGGAGGAGGAGGAGGAGGAGGAGGAGGAGAGGAGGAGAGGAGGAGGAAGAGAGGCGGAAGAGGAGAAGTCAGGAACACGGGCCCCGAGGCCGCGCCCGCGAGGGAGGGGGGCCGCGACCCGCGGGCAGCCGCTGGGCGCCGCGCTCCGTAACCCGCCGCCGCCGCCGCTCGGCCCGCCGCCGCTGCCTGCGGCCCAGGCCGCCCGCTGCAGCTGCGGCCCCCCCTGGCTCGGCCCCTCCTGCCAGCGCCTCCCCCTCCTCCTCCTCCTCCTCCTCCTCCTCCTCCTCCTCCTCCTCCTCCTCCTCCCTCTCCTCCTCCTCCTCCTCCTCCTCCTTCTCCTCTGGCCTCAGGTGGCACCCCCCCGGAGCCTCCCAGGTCATCTCGCTGGCTCTTGCGGACCGGACGCTGGCCGACGCGAATCGGCGCGCTGGTCGAAGCTGGTCGACACTACATCGATGCAACCTCGGCGCTTTGGCATCGATGATCACGCACGCTGGCGCGCGATAGTGCACTCCGAGGACGGACTCCCGAAGACATACAAGGGTCCCAGAATTTGCAACCCGGGCCAGCCTCCCAGAGGCCTCCCAAATGGGGTCCGAGTAGACATCGTCGGCGAGCCCAGGGGGGAAGTGAGAGGGGACGTGCCTTCTCAGAGGGCGGCGGGGCTTCTCAGAAGCCCCCATGCCTTCTGATAAGCCGTCTGTGTGCTCGGGGACGGCCTACAACAGTTCTTTGAAGGCGCGAGGGCTTCTGAGATGCCCCGCCGCCTTCTGAGAAGGCCAGCCCCCTCTCAATTCCTCCTCTTGGCTCGCCGCCGACGATTGGGTCGGAGGATCGGGCCGCATCGCCAATTCGTCGCCGATGCATCGGGGACGCGTTGGCAACGTCGGCCATGCATTGGTACCCTCGGCGTGGAGAAAAGCGGGCCCCACATCGAGCCACATCGCAGATACCTCGGAGATGCGCCGCGGTCATCCGACCCCATCTACTCGGGCCCGGTTTGAGAGGCCTGGACCTACCTCGCAATCGTAATCGCAATCGCACTGCTGCTGCAGACCGAAGAAGGGATCCGAAGGGCACAGGAAATCTGGTCGCAGCCTCTGGGATCTCCTCGCACGGGGGCCCCACAGGGTGTCCAGAGGCAACTCCTCCAGAAACACACGCACGAGGAAACCATTCAGGCCCGACGGGTGCTATTTGAGAGGCGCCGCGCGGTAAGCCGCTCCCATCCCGCCCAATCGCCGTCAAGTCCACCACCACCCCGAACCAACGCCTACATCGTGTGCCTGAGGATGCTGTGTGTACTCGCACCAAGCAGTCTCGTCGCTTTCAGATGCCCCTTCCTGAACATGCACTGATCAACCATCGCTGCAACAGAAGTGGGCAGCGAGGCAATCCACTCGAGTTCAGGCAGCCTCTTACTGGAGGCGCCCTCCTCCCCTCCACGAAACCTCGCGGTCCCCAGATGCTCCATGACAGCTCCCCGCCTCGCCGTCCTCAGCCTACCCCTCCTCCTTGTCGCCCCCCTCTACTGCAACTCCTCGTCATCCCCCTCCCCTCCTCGAAAAATTCCTTGTCTGGATCCTCCCATCTCCCTTTTCCTCCAAATTCCTTCTGCTGCGCGTCCCCCTCTTGCGGGTCCTCTCCCTTCCTGCGTCTCCATGCGCTGAGTCTTTTGCTGCGCCTCCACTCCTCCTCCTCCATCTCCTCCTCCTCCTCCTCCTCCTCCTCATACTCCTCCTCCTCCTCCTCCTCTTCCCCCTCCTCCTCCTGGAGGACCATGCCAGGGGCAGCGCTAAAAAAGGTGGCAGGCAGGCAGGCAGGCAGGAGGGCGCCCCCCGGAACGGTCACCGGCGGCACGGCCCCGGCACATGGCATGCAGACCGTTTTCGCGCGCGCGCTCGACGCGCAGCTCACATGACAGTGCATGCATCCTCGACCTCCTCGAGGGGAGGGGCTGGCAGCTCCCACTCGCGCGTGTAGGGCTCCTGCCCGCCCGTGGCACTCCCAGGGCGCGCCGCGCCCCCTTCCTCGTTTCCTCCCGCCGATGCTGCTCGTCGTCGACGTCGTCGTGGCCGTTGTCTTCGTCGTCGTCCACATTGAACCCATCCTTCATTGCCCGCCCTCTCCTCCTCCATCAACGTCCTTGTCGCCCGTCTTCTTCTTCTGCTGATGTCCCTCGCCGCTGCATCCAACACTGACCCCGACCTGGTATCAGGACGTTCGCACACTAGCATACCAGATTGAGAGAAATACATGAATACTTATACACAATATTCAACTACAATCCCGGACAGAACACAACACGACTTGTGCAAAGGCTTACCCTCGAGAAAATGGCGGCCCACTTTTCCGGCCTCTGCATCCGCCCGCCCTCTGCGTCCGCCCGCCCTCCCTTCACCTCCTCCTCCTCCACCTCCTCCTGCTCCCCCTCCTCCCCCTCCTCCCCCTCCTCCTCCTCCTCCTCCTCCTCCTCCTCCTCCGTCCCTCTTTCACCATTCTCCTCCTGCCTTCCTGCCTCCCTCCTTCTAACTCCTGCTCACCCCGCCTGCCTCCTCTTCACCACCTCCCCGCACGTCCTCTTGCCTTACGACGAGGCCGGGGCGAGGAAACAATTGGGGGACATAAATCGAAAGTCTCTGAGATCTGGCGGCACTGGAGGCTGTATCGGACGCCGCAGCCTTCTCAAAGCGTACCCATACGCTCTGAGAGCGCTCCGGAACGCTCTGGCACGGATTTATCCTCGTCCTAGCCCCGCCCGATGCCCTCCCGCCTCCCTCCCGTCCATCCCTCGCTCGTGTGATCCGCACCCACCTTGTCGCACGGGGTGAGCGTGTCGCACGCGCATCGTCGGCCGGGTCGCCCGCGGAGTCGTCGGCTCGTCGGCGCGACGCATGCAGGGCAGGGCGCGGAGGAGGAGGAGGAGGAGGAGGAGGAGGAGGAGGAGGGGGAGGAGGAGGAGGAGGAGGAGGAGGAGGAGGAGGAGAGAGGAGGAGAAGGAGGAGGGGGAGGAGGAGGAGAGGAGGAGAGGAGGAGGAGGAGGGGGAGGAGGAGGGTCTTGGCGGCTCTTGGATGGTCTTGGCGGGTCTTGGCTGGTGCGCGCGCGGGTCGCCGGTGGGGTCGTAGGCGCGTCGCGGGCAGGTCAAAGGCGGGTCACGGGGCGGGTCGCGGGATGGTCGTGGGCTGCGGGTCGCGGGGCGACGAAGGATCACGCTGGGCTGCTGCCTTGCCTTCTCGTTTCGGAAGGCCGCGGGTGCCCTCCCCCTCCCCCTCCCCCTCCCCCTCCCCCTCCCCCTCCCCCTCCCCCTCCCCCTCCCCCTCCCCTCCCCTCCCCCTCCTCCCCCTCCCCCTCCCCCTCCCCCTCCCCCCCCCTCCCCCTCCCCCCCCCCTCACCCCTCCCCCTCCCCCTCCCCCTCCATCCTCCTCCTCCTCCTCCTCCTCCTCCTCCTCCTCCTCCTCCTCCTCCTCCTCCTCCTCCTCCTCCTCCTCCTCCCCCCTCCCCCTCCTCTTTCTCCTCCCGCTCCCCATCCTCCGCCGCTCATCCTGTTTTGGGTGCCCCTCCTCCCCCTCCCCCTCCTCGGATTGTTTGGTATGGTCCACCCTTTCAGTGTGGAGGGATCGAATGGTGTTTCGTACCAGCCCATTGGCGCGAGCCTGAACTTTGTTCCATTTACCCCGCTGGGTGTCAGTATACAGATCATTGGCCCATGCCTGTCCATCTCGGTCGTGCACGCATTGGTCCCCATTGTGCCTGATCCCGATAAGTTGGGCGAGGGAACTCACCGGGATGCAACCTTTCACCCCCGAAACCATGATGATATCATTGGCGGACCGCGATGCTGGGATGTTATCGTGGATCGGGTTCTGGAGGCTTGCTGGAATCAGAGGCTCGGCGTCCGTCCGTGGGCTCGAATGGATACGCTTATCGCCGGGCAGATATGGGCATCCGTGAATCACCTGTCTGCCTGAGACTTTCTTAGGACTGTCTAGGCTTAGGCATGGCAGATCGACGCTCAATTTACTCGGGACGTGATCCCATTTGGTCCAGTGCATGAAATAACGGGGTGCTCCCGCCACATAAGGTCTGTCACTCGGGAGTGCCGTGGTTCTGGGCATCGCATGCGTGGGCTGCCGTGCCCGCCGCTGGGCCGCAGGTGGCAAGGCGGGCGAAAGTCCCCGCAAACCTTGATATTTTCATGTGGAGTCGATTCTTTTGCATGCCGGACTGGTGGACAACCATCGCACATATCTGCAAGGCAGATCGTGCTTGGCATGCCCAATGCCAATTCCGGAGGCATTCCTGGACGACGTTCAGGTATCTATCATGATATGTTGGATAATCCTTTGGGGGCAAGTTTGTCAGCAAATCGCTGAGACGTACCCATCCGTCGAACGCGTCGAACAAGGTAACGCCTTCCGTAAGGCAGGTAAATCTACTCACGCGCGTCGCGTTGCACTCGGTTGGGCGATGTACTACTCTGCGTCGGCTCGAACCATCGTCGGCAGTGTCCGCGTATGCACGGCTAACTGGCATCTGTCGTGAGGTGCCAAGCGTATCGCGATAGCGCATGTCCCCCTCATCTATTTCAGGGATGGTCGCAGGTTGCCCCGCAGATGCAGATGCAGACGCCGTGGGCGCCCCCGCAGAAGCCGAAGCAGTAGCGGGCGCTGCGGACGAACTTGCGCTTCCAGGTGGGGTTATTATCCTTCTGGCGAATGCCAACATAGTAGCGCCCGCTCACCTTCGGAGCTCCTGGTGCCTTGGATGTAGTCTGGAGCGCTGCCCCTCCCGCGCCGGGCTGCGAAGCATGATGCAATGTTGCGCCCCCCAATGGTGGCCAGCCAACTCCCTGGCGGGTCCTGCCAGGACTGGGACCGCGTAGTGTAACAGTTTCCTTCGGCTTGGGCGCGCAGCTGCCCTGGGGCACCGCCTCCGCGGCCGCCGCGGCTGGCCCCTGGGGTGAGATCCACGAGCAAGTTTCCCCACTGATCGTTGTGCCATATTTCCTCCAGGGCCGGCCTCTACTGAGCTGGTGCTTCTCTTCGGCCTGGGTGGCCTTGGAGCACCTGGTGATGGAGATAGGTCCACGCCCTTCTCATAACGCTTCTTCTCAGAACGCTTCGGGGGCTTCGGGGGCTCGTGTGCCTTCTTAGCGGGTTCCCCCGCAATAGCGAACGCAGCAGGTTTCCCCGCGTTCTTGTGCAAGGAGCTATCTGACTAAGGCTTCCGGGCCGGCTGGCAAAGTGCCACGCTCTCAGTTTTGGCTTTCTCTTTGAAGCCCAACTTGCGTCACATCGGGCCACTTACCGCGCACCTAGGACATGATCCATCCAGTGCTTCTACTGTAATACGCCACTGTCGTACCTTTTTCAAAGGCCTTGTTCTCTTCGATTGTTGCGTCGACGTCCTAGTCTGGGTCAGCGGCTGCGCCGCTGGGGGACTCGCACGTGCGTTCAAACCCTGACGCAGGTGCAGAGGGATCAACAGCATGCGCGAGGCCAGAAGCCTCGCCCTCTATGTCAGCCGCGGACTTGTTGGCACCTTCGTGGGAGGAACAGGCGGGTTGCCCCGCAGGAGACGCCGCCCGTGCTTCGCGCGCGGCCTCGTGGCATCCTCGACTGCACCGCTTAAGTCGGTGATTATCATCGAGTTCCCCCATTCTTGCTCAACGAATTGTGCCTGAATATCATATAGCGGCTTGTAGTCCTCCTCGGTCAGAAGTGCTTCCCTAAGATTACAGGTTGGGCCCACCCTGCGGCCTTTGCCACCCCCGTGGGGCCAGGCCCACGGGGTCCACTTGAAGCTGGGGCTCCATGAAGGGCGCCCCATCGGGCATTTCGGCCCGTGGTCTGCGACATGGTCGCATCCACAGATCTCTTTTCGATATTCCTTCCGATCCACAATGATGGCCCTTTTGTCGGCCTTCCTTACCAACGTTCCAAGCTGCTTGTTACCAAGCGGAATTCTGTTGTAACGGATGATTTTGCCTTGTTCATTCCACGTCGCATTATTCAAATACCACCAGTGGTGGATTTGGCGGTCGGTGTAACCCTTTTCCTGCCAGGCGCGCGTGCGTTGGCGAGCGAGCCCGTCGTTCTCTTCGCCGACAAGTCTAAATCGACGCGGGCCATCGGGGGCTGCCGTCATCCTGACGCGGTTCTCCCAGCGAGCGTTCCCTCCCAAGCGATCCCCTCGGATCGCGCAGACATCGGCGCCGCGCGCCGCTTGAGCGGGCGCGCGAGTGCCTGCGCGAATGACCCCGCCGAAGGCGGCATGGCGGATGGCTCTCGGCTTCCCGTTCTTCATAGAAGACCAGTCGCGGAGTGCAGAATTTAAGTGGAAGCCTACATTGCGTCCGGATTCATACTGGAGAACCGCAGAGAGGTCTCCCTTGTCACGCGGGTGGCCCCGCAGAGGATCGTCGTCGCAGGTTTCCCTGCACGCAGAGAATCCAGTCACCCGCGGTCGGAGCACCGATTGGAGCTCCTCTTCCGTAGCCGGTGCCGCGTTACCATCACCATTGTCGGGCTCGTAACCGTCGGAAGACGCAGGTGCCCCCGCCATCTCGCGATCCGAGTCGGCGGGCATGCGGCATGCCTCGATGACCTCTATATGCGCTGGTCGCCCTGCGATAGGAATGCCCAGCCAGTCCGCGAGATCGATCTCATCGTGGCCAACGTAGATTCCTGGAAGAGCTCGTCGGCGCACCTCTCGAGGGACACGCTGGCGCGAATATGCTTGGCGGACATGCAACGGGCGGCGGCTGCGGGGCTGGCTTCTGCTTCTGCAAGAAGGGTCTCCCAGCCGACATACTGTGCACCGGAATTGGTTTGAGCCAGATCCATGGACGGACCCCTGCCTCCCCCATCGCCGCGGGGGCGCTCGCGACGAGACTGCTGGGTGCTATGGCAGATATCACATTCCATGGTTTTCCCGTCGACATTCTTTGGGTTGCCCCGACGCCCCTTGCCATTTCCAGTGGCGCGCCTGCGGCCTCTACCCTTCCCCAGAAAGATGTCTTCATACTGTGGTCCCGAAAGGGGCGCCTGGAGTGTTAGCATGCCTCTACTATGTAATCTCCACTGTGTACCCTTGCGTCGACCCTTACCTTCTGACCGAAGCACCCGTCGGTCTGCGCGTCGCATCTTTCGAACTGGTTTCTTCATAAAACGTCTCCACCGGCGCTTGTGCATCTGGTGCCCCATGAATATCCACTGCGGCTGCTGCTCTTCAGTGAGATGCGCAGGCATGTCGGAGTAATCCAAGTTACCAATTCCCTCACCTGATGAGGCGTCAGCGACGGCGCCAGAACCAAGTTCGGACTCCGCGGGGCGCCCCGCCGAGCCGACGAGGGCAATGGCTTGGGCGGGGGCCGCTGCTGCCGACGGTCCCTGGCATCGAGCCCAGGTTCCCTGCGACCCCGTGGGCTAGCCACCTTGTGTGCTTAATAAAGTGGTGGCCTCGTTTGGTTGTGGATCGTCATTCCAGGCGTTGCTGGCCGATTGCCCCGCATGGGTGTCGCCATTAAAGACATCGGCGCGGTGGCCATGACTGAACGCACCCCCACTGTTGCCAGGGGTTGGCTCGGCAGTATGGGCGCGAGCCCTCGTGCGCCCTAGTATGCGCAAACCCTCTTGCGCTCTAGCATGGCGCCAGACTGCTGCTGAGCCCTTGGAACTTGGCGGCTCAATGGTTGCAGTAGTTGCTGTGCACGCGCGCCGCGCCGCGCCTTGGATGCCAGCGTGGGTCTGTTACTATAGAGAGTGTCATGAAACAAACGCTGAAACGCAGTTTATGCCAATATGTGCGTGCGCGGCCTGGCCAAGCGCGGCGGCATCAACGCGACGCCGAGGGGCGTCGTGGACTTGAGCCTTTGGCCTGGAAGCGCGCCGCGCCCGACGACCCAAATCGCGAAGTCCGGCAACCGACCGCTGCGCGCTGGGGGGGTGGGTGGTGGGGTGGGTGGGGGGTGGGGGTGGGGGGGGGGGGGGGGGGGGGCGGGCGCGCAGAGCGCTGATCAGCGGAGCGCGAGTTGGCGCCCGCCTCACCCTCGCGCCCCGTCCCCCGCCTCCTCCAACTATCCCGTCGCTTCGGCCCCGACCTCCTCATGCCTCTCCGACTATCCCCAGTCTTCGTCGTGCCCTTCATCCAAATTGTCGATCCAGTTCAGGTCGTTCCTCGTCGCCCTCCCCCGCCCGATGGGGCCCCCATCGACCGCGCGCCTGCCCCCCCCATCCTCTGCGCCCCAATGCAGATCACCCCCCCTCATTCCCCCCCCGCCCCCCTCGTCCCCGCGACGCTGGCGCGGATGGTGCAGCTCCTCCTGGGCCCATTTCCCACCCCCCGCACTGCCCCTTTCATCCCCGGCCCCTTCGCCACCCCTCCCATCGAACCCTTCCCCCCCCCGTGGCCCGCCATCTCCCGCCCCCCGCGCCTCCGCGCCCCCAAACCGCGGCCCCCTCCTGGGCCAGCCAGGAGATCCGCAGACAATCCCACCCAGTGGCCACTCCAGCGAGCGGCGCGCAACATATGCACACAGTTGGAGACGCGAACTGCGCGCTTCGACAGCACGCGACGACCCCCTGGATTAGCCGAAAGGGAAGCGCGAGCGTTCACGCCAAATCAACACCACCCGCGAGGGGCACACTCCAAATACACAGATGTGAACAATAACCTTGATCTGTGCATGTCGAAAAGGTAAACGCTCGCCACCTCGAGGGCGCCCCGACTTTGCCTGCCCAGAGCCGGGGTTGACGTGCCCAGCTAAGTGGGACTGCAAATGCAAACTTCCCCGGCCCAGGGCGCCCTTGAGGGAGCTGCGAACGCGCGCTTCCCTGGCCCACGGCGGCCGCGGTGAAATGGGGCGCCGCAGCGGCCCCCAACGGCCCGAAGACGTCCCAAAAGGGCCCCGAAGGACCCCCAAAAAGGCAGTATTTCAATCCGAGAATACCAGAGGTGCCACATGTCACGGACCTCTAATCAGTCAAAGCTCCACGCGTCGCCATGCAGACCGCTGCGCTGGCAAGGGGGCGGGCCTTGCCGCAGACACTTATACATTGACATGTTAGCGATGCTACTGTGCTCTGTGGCCATGCCGCCCGCGTTTGGAGCGCGCCCAGAACGCTTGCATTGGCAATTCCTTCAATTTGGTTGCGCCGCTGTGCTCGGACATCGAAAGGGCGGTATACCGCTGATGCGGGCACGCGGCACCAGGGACTTCACCCCCCTTCTTGGAACAAAGAGTGGGTATGAGGCAGGGCGACGGACGGTGGAACAGGGAGGCAAGGTGGAATGAGGAATACTGGGGCAAGTGGAAAGAGGGCGCTCTCCCGCCCGAGCCGCGGACGCTTTCCACGCCATCCAGAAGGGCGGAGAAAGGAGGGGGGTGGAGCGAGGGCGAGGACGACGACTGGAAGCAAACTGTCCTCGGTCCGCATATAGCCATATGCTTGCGACTCGGGTGCGCGCGCTTTCTTCGAGGCACTTCAAGACAGACCCATGCTGAATTCACGATATCCTCCAAACTGTGTGAACACTCTGTCCTCTGCACCCCTTCCTATAGAACTGCCTCTGAACAGAGTGGCAGTGTATTCCAACCCACACCTGGCGCTCTGAACAATATAACTGTCAAAATCTGGAGGTTTGAGATGTTGAAACCCACGGTGTCGGCTTCGAAGCGTGCTATCTCGAAGCGGGCCAGCGTCTGGTCGATCCGTTCTCCCGCATGCACGCGAAAGTCAATGAAAGCCGCTCCCGAGTTGAATTGGCGTTCCTCTTCCAGGCTTCCAAGCTTAATGCTGAAGAAGAACATGATATAGGTGACACCGTCGGTGTGGCGACCGCCAACATTAACACCGAAGCTGGTTACTGCGGGGGGGGGGGCTATCATGACTATTGTCCTTGCGAGCCGTCCCAAACCGCGCTGTAGAGCGACAGCCTGCTGGGAGGGGGTCATCGTGCCTGTGGCCACGTTCATCCAGGCGTGTACCTCGCGAGCGAACTCGCGGAAAGGTACATTACCGGCAGGGTTCCACTGGGGGCCGGTAGTCTGTGTGTCGTCTCCGCCACGCTGCATATGTCCAACAGCGTATCCGATAACGACCCATAGAATGCCACATGTAGTAATACTAATCCAATGGCCTCGAAAGTCGTAGTCGGTTGTTTGTGGCTGTTGTTTGTGAAGTAACGTTGCCTTCAGCTTGCGTGGGGGTGGAGGCGGCATAATGTCGTATCGCAAACTACCATGAATTGTATCTTTGCACATACAAATTGGAATGGGTGGGTGGACTTCAGGAGTGTAGTAGCGCAGCGAGGTAGGACTCCAGTAAAAGACCGCCGCGTGAGCAGAAACAACACTGCAAGTGCCCTTGTGATTGTGCGCATATCGAAGTATGTATGCTTATATATACATACATATATAGGTGTATATATATACATATATATATATATATATATATATATATATATATATACACACATGCATTTCTTCCGCGCAGGGCCACTGCACCCTGAAGTTCCGCCATGTCAGTAGTCCACCAAATAGTACCGTGGATGGTGAGGAGTAGACCTATAACTGACCTCCATAGGCCAGCTCCGCTACCAAGTTTGAAGCTGGTCGGGAGGCCCAACCAGATGCTTCGCCTAAGGCGAAGCCCGTATCCTACTCTGTTATACCGTAATAGCGACAGTCCCCAGAGCAGGACAGGGTCGCGGGAACGACGGGCCATGTCAAACGAATGTTTTTGGTCTCGATGGCACATAGTGTGCCTCGCGGTGAGGCACAGTCACATCTTGGCGGCCGGCCGCTTGAACACAAACAGTTGCGGACAAACGCTCGCTACCTCTCGCCTTCGCCCAACCTCCTTTACAGTCCTCCTCCTCCTCCTCCTCCTCCTCCTCCTCCTCCTCCTCCTCCTCCCCCCCGGGGGAATTCATGAACGGAGGAGCAACACGAGAACCCACGGGAGGGGAGGAGGAGCCTCCACCGCCCGTCTGCCAAGCTCCTCCCCGTCCTCCTGCAGCAAGCCCACCCCGCCGCGCCCCCCGCCCCCCGCCACTCCAGCAGGCCCACGGGGGCCCCGTACTCGGCCTCGTACCACGCGAGCCAGCTGCAGACTCCCGCCATCTTGTCCTTGCCCATGTCCTCCGGGGAGGCAGGACCAGCCAGCATCGAATCGGGACATCGGATCGGATCGGAATGCAGATCAGATCGGGCCGCATCGGCACGGAGTCGGAATAAGATCGGGTCGGCTGCGCCAGCGTGCACAGCAACGCGATGCAAGCGTCGGGCTAAGACGGATCGAAAGAAGGTCGGAATCGAATCGGATCGAAATGGCCGAAACCGATATCGAATCGTACCGATCGGATCGAAATAAACGTTAGGGGGATCTTCGGGGGGGGAGACCGGCTTCATGGGGTGGGGGGCACATCGAGGCAGAATCAACGATACATCGCCGGCAGATCGGAGGTAGGGCCTCGATCGGCGTGGGCGGATGGTGGGGGCACACAACAACAGCAGCACCGCTACTCCCAAGAGGAGGAGGAGGAGGAGGAGGAGGAGGAGGAGGAGGAGGAGGAGGCGGAGGAGGAGGAGGAGGAGGAGGCGGGGAGAGAGGAGGAGGAGGAGGAGGAGGAGGAAGGAGGAGGAGGAAGGAGGAGGAGGAGGAGGAGGAGGAGGAGGAGGAGGAGGAGGAGGGCGGTGCGCCCCGACGAGTCTCGACGAGCATCCAGCCGTGGTGGCGCTGGCTCTCCAGGGCGAGCAGCGGTGTATCGGTGCCTTCTCCGCCCCTGCGCTGGGCAGGAGAGCTCGGCCCAACGGTCCCTGCTGGCCATTCGCAAAAATTGGCCCGGGCGAAAGGGGGGGATAGCAAAGGGGGGGGATGAGAATCAGCTCGCGTAGCTGCGGCGCCGGGAGGCGGTCATGTATCGAGAAACGGGCCCCTCAATGAGGCCGAAACCAACTGCATGCAGCAGATTTCGCAACCCCCCCGTTCCCTATCCCCCCCTGTCGTCCAGCCCGACAAAAGGGTATTCAAGCCGACCTCTCCTCCAGAACTCGGCCCGTCTCGCCGTTCGCAAGAAGGGCAGCGAGTCGGACTTCTCGAGTTGAGGGTCGGTGCGCTCCCCCCTGAGCTTAGCCGCCCCGACACGCAACACACACAACCCGCAGCGGGCTGACACGGGGCTCAGCGCGTAGGTTGAATACGTAGGCTTGGCGAGGCACGTTCGCCAAAACATGAACGTAGGCCTCGACGTGCCAACCGCCATGCGTAACACACGGGCATCTTGAACACGGCACGTGCTGCGTGTCAACACGGGCGTATCAGGGATCAGGGCAACTCAGCCCCTGAGTCGACCCCCGCCCCCCGTACCCAGATCCCCGACGTCGCGATTGTTCCCAACCACCCTTTGGTGTTGGGTCCTCGTTTCGAAAAGACAGCGTCCCGCTTTCCTTCACCTCCGCCTCGCCCCTCATACGCTTCGTGGCCCCAGAGGGAGCTCTACCGAAGGCCCCAGTGGCTGTGACCACACGCGTCCCCGCCACCACTTTCGGCACACCCTTCACACGTTTCGTGGCCCGTAGGGCACTCCACAGAAGGACCCAGCGGGTGGCCCCATAGGGAACTCGACCGAAGAGGGAACGCACCACTGCAGCGCTCACAATTGCATATGTTTTTGGTCCTTCGCCACCGTGATTTTGCAGGCGCTGGCCCCACTGGTTTGGACCTTTCCCCAGGACCGGTTCTCCAGCAGGAGTCGTTGTTTGACGGTCCCGAGGCCCGGTGACTGTCTCCAGAGGCCGAAAATACAGAGACACTGGCCGTCATGATCTTTTCGCGACTCGACAGGCCTGGGCACGCTGCCCCCGAAGACAGGCGCAGCGCGGAGAGACGTGCGCCGCGCCACGCCACGGCGGCCCACCCCCCCGCTGGCCCCGCGCAGGCTCCCTCTCTGGGAGAGGCCGCCCTGGGCTCCGCAAGCCTCCCCGAGGCTGGCGGGGCGTTCCTCCCGCCGCCGCCGCCGCCGCCGCCGCCGCCGCCGCCGCCGCCGCCGCCGTCGTCGTCGTCGTCGTCGTCGTCGTCGTCGTCGTCGTCGTCGTCGTCGTCGTCGTCGTCGTCGTCGTCGTCGTCGTCGTCGTCGACGTGGACGTCGTCGTCGTCGTCGTCGTCGTCGTCGTCGCCGTCACCGCCGTCGCCGCCGCCGCCGGCACGGAACGCCGTGCCGAACTACGTGGCGCGACTGAAGGCCGGGTCGGGGTCGCGCCCGCCGCCGCCCCGGCGGGCACAGGGGGGGGGGGGAGGAGGGGGACAAAGGAAACAAGCGGGCGCTGAGGTTCGGCGGCGACAGGCGCCGCGGCCAACGGGGATGACGAGGGGTACGGGAAGGAGGAGTAGGAGAAGGAGGCGGCGGAAGAGGAGGATAGTGAGGAGGAGGGGAAGAGGGGGAGGGGGAGGAGGAGGAGGAAGAGGAAGAGGAGGAGGAGGAGGAGGAGGAGGAAAACCAGGAGGAGGAGGAGCCCACGCCACTGGAGAGGCGCACCATCCCTCCACCCGCGCCTAGGCCTCGGCCGCGCTGCTCGCGCCGCCCGCCTCTTCAGAGTTGAAGTCGTTGAAGTCGCCGTCCACCACGAGGCCAACGACGACGCCAAGGCCGTCGGTGTCCTGCTCGTCATTGTCCATCGCCACATCATGACCATCAGCAGGTGGATGAGCATCCCCAGCGTCGAGACCAGGTCGCTGATCCCCAGCATCCCCATCAGGTAGGAGAGCATTCCCAGCATCCCCAGCGTCGAGTCCAGGTGGTGGAACAGGTGGAGTGCATGATCCATTGTTGCACTCTTGCTCCACATCCACGCCAGCACCCGCGACCCCCAGAACATCATCACCAAGACCCGCCGTGCTGCCCAAGCCAGACTTCATGGCTGCAGCAAGATATTGGGTAAACCCGTCTTCGTCCTCCGAGTCGGTCACGGTCTCGGTAGCCAGGACCGCGGAGGTGTTCAGCACAGTTCTTCAGACGCGTGGGCCAGTAGGAGTTCATCGAAGATCTCATCCTCATCATCTCGGAAGGCGATATCGGTTCCAAGGCTACGAAGGTGCGTAAATCCATATTCGCTGTCCAATTCCAACAGAGACCCAGGGTGGTATCATCCACAGTGCTAGCTCTCATTGGTCTTCGGGAAAAGCATAGTGTGAGTCCAGATACTGCGTGGCCGTAATCAGCTGCGAGGGTGTCAACGCTTTCGTGTCATCGTCCACCAACGGTGTCTCATTGTGAGCGGCGGTGATCACGGACTTGACGAACAAGCTAACCGTGTTGAGTGCACGAAGTTGATTGAAGGCTTGAAGTTCATCCGCGTCTGCGCATCCTTGTCCACTGCTCGCAGCACTACCTCTGGGCATGCCCGCTCCACCCGCACCAGTAGGGGTCGGCTTTGCACCAGAGTTCGGAGACGCAGAAGCACCTCCAGCCGATGAAGACGCAGTACTAGATTGGAAGGCCCCACCCAGCATCCCATCACTGTATACCACGTTGAGGCCGTGTGCCGCCATTATTTGGTTGAACAGATCATCCGACCTGCTCGACGCTCGACGCAGCTTCCTCAAGTTGATCTTCCACTGCAGGAGACGACGGCGCCGCAGGACCGCAGGGGGTGCCGATGGAAACGGAGCAGCATTCCCACCCTCGGCCGCGCTGCTCGCGCCGCCCACCACCCCAGGATAGAAGCCGTTGAAGTCGCCGTCCTCCTCGCGTCCAGCGACGACGGCGAGGCCGTCTGCGTCCTGCTCGCCACCGTCGATCACCGCGTCATGAACGTGAGCAGGCGGGGGAGCACCCCCAGCGTCGAGCCCGAGAAGTTGACCTGCCAGATCAGCTCCTCCAGCAGGCGCCGTGCCAGAGGGCGAGGCACACGTTGCTGGCAAGATGCCAGCACCCGTGGACCCCAGGGCATTATCACCATGACTCGCCGCACTGCCCAGGCCAGACGCCATGGTTGCTGCAAGAACTTGGGCAAACTCGTCATCATCATCGGAGTCGGGCACTGTCTCGGTGGCCAGGCCCGCGGAAGTGTTCAGCGCAGTTCCGTACTCACCATCAGCGTCTTCTGAAGCGCGAGCCAGCATACGTTCATCGAAGATCTCATCCTCATCATCTCGGAAGGCGATATCGGTTCCAACGCCAGTAGGGTGCGCAGATCCATATCCGCCCGTCATTTCCAATTGAGATCCAGGGTGGTGCAGCAGCCACAATACTAGTTCTCGTTATTCGTCGGGAAGAGCATAGTGTGCGTCTAGAAACTGAGTGGCGGCGATCAGCTGCGAGGGCGTCAGCGCATGTGTGCCCTCGTCCACCAGCGGTGTCTCATTGTGACCGGCGGTGATCACGGACTTGACGAACACGCTGACCGTGTGTAGCGCGCGAAGTTGATTGAAACCTTGAACATCCACGTCTGTGCACCCTTGCCCACTGCTCGCAGCGCCACCAATGGACATGCCCGCTCCGCCCGCGCCAGGAAGGGTCTGCCTTGCACGAGAGCTCGCATCCGCAGAGGCACCTCCAGCCGATGAAGTCGCAGTACCAGCTTGATACGCCCCACCCAGCGTCCCATCATGGTATATCACACCGAAGCCGCGCGCCGCCATTTTATGGTTGAACATATCATCCGAACTGCTGGGTGCTTCTTCCTCATGTGGATCTTCCACTGCAGGAGGCGACGGTGCCGCAGGAGGGGCCGAGGAAGACGCGGCCGTAGCATTGCCATCCTCGCGACCGGAGAGCTCCCGGGAACGATGCCGCGCCATCTGTACTTGCGCTTCGAATCCCTCGTCAGTCCGAATCAATCCAAAGTGGTGTGAGTATTCTGCAGGATCCATCGCGTCGTCTTCGAACATCGGTGGTGCCGTCGCTGCTGCCGACGAAGCCGCCGCTGCATCTGCCGCTCCCACCATGCGCTCGATATCGACATCAGTAGGGTTGGGGTACCCGTCTTCTCCAATGCTCTCATCATCTTCACCGGGGCGAGGTCCATCAGCCGCGCTGCGCCCAAGTTAAGCTTGACAATGAAGATGAGGGGGGGGGGGGGTGGGGCTGAGGTTGGAGAGCTTTAGGAGGCGCATGGTAGAAAGTCTTTCGATCGGGCAA